CGGCAGGTTTGCAACGTAGATGCTTTGTTCTGATTATCGCTACAGTCCTTGCTGGGAAGTCCTTACCCCAAATCTGAACCACAAGGTCAATTTTCACCTTGCAAGCTGTTTTGACCGGGTTAGAACTTTTACCTGCAGCATTCAAGACAAAGAGGACAGGGTTGTGTCAGAGTGGAGTTGCCTCGCTAGTTCCGAGGTTATGTGGGATTCTTCCAAATCACCAATGAGACGGCCGGTTGCCCAGCGCTAGGCGTTTTTCTGTCCTAGAGCAAAGCACATCCCTTGTGTGCTCAACATGTGTTCTTGGACTTGATAAGTTCCGCTACTTTGTGAGACAACGGATGTTTCGTTTCTTCCGTGTAGCATAGGCTGGGCATTCAATATTTTGCATTGATGACATGTTCTTCATCCTGCAGGTTCTTCAAGTTGCCGCGGACAAACAAGATTCTTACGACTCCAACTGTAGTGTCAATATTTTCATGGCGGTTGGGATGGAGCTATAAGCTCAACAATCGTTTTGGACAGTACTCAGTGCTGTTAAAGATACATTACTACCCAGAAGTTTGGCAGGCAAACATCCATGCAGCAAGTTAAAGCTATCGAGGGGTATGACGCCTCTATATAAATCACCTCACACATACAGTCTGAAGGTAGCACCTTGGCTCCCACCCAGGCTCCTTGGCTCCAGGTCACAATCTCCAACATTTGCCCTCAGGTGGAGCAGGTTCAGAGCGAACAACCTCCACCCAGTGTTTCTCAGCTGAAATAGGGACTGATGACGAAAAGAGACACTGACGTGGAGGATCCGAGGATCGTGGATTTGCGGGAGCATTCTGTTTCATGAGCCCGAAAATGGAAAGTCATTTGATGCCTCAGGCACCATGTCGTGACAAGTTAGACAACTAATGGTCGCTACCAATTGGAGTATGCTCCTGGTTTGGTTGGTTGCCATGCCTTGTTTCTGTGCACACTCAAAACGAAGTGGGCCAAATAACAGTGTTGACGTCCTGCATGTGACGCAAATGGGTCAAAGGAGGTCACGCACACTGACAGACTGAGAGAGCTGGAAGCATTGGCCGAATCAATCGGCACAGTTCACCCAGGTTCAGATGTTCCGCAAATTCTTCGAAGGCCTTGCGTTCCGAGGAGTCCTGATCAAGTCGATGAGTCCCCCTAAGAAAACTAAGTTCGCCGGATATCTCACTGAACAAACAATCGAGTTTGCCCATAGTCCATAGTGTTTTCATGTGTGTTTTTTCTCTATCCACACCAGACCAACAGAAACAAAGCAAACTTGGCACACATATTTCATTCGGTGAGTTCGCATTCTAACAACTGCACGAAGCCCGTTTCTTTGTACGATATTCTTGATGACAATAGGTCCTTGATGGTCTTTGGATGACATGACATGTTCCAACTCCAGCTGCAAACCTCCAACAGTTCCACATTTTGGATTCCTTGGACCTTCTGATTGGAAGGGCTCAAATCCAGGTCCTGCCGGTTTTCCGGGATGTCCTCTCGATCATCCAGACAGGCATGCCGCATCATGCGCGCATGCGGTTTTGCTGGAATCGGATGACCTCACGCGCGTTCATGGACTAGAGAAAACGGAGTGCGGGATGGCCCTCCGTAGCCAGTTGTGAACGTTTCCCTTCAGATTCTGGCAAGCTAACTTGTATTTCAGTACTCATGCGCTCGCAGCTCTGGCCAGGAGCATGTATCGGCGGAGGGACCTCAAGAAATTCAAGGAACACGCATCGACGGGACACGCGTGACACGCGTGACGCATCGACGGAGTGGTCCGACACCCTGAGGACATGGACCCTGGGCTTCTAAGAGCTGCAGGGTGGTGCTTAAACCAAGCCGAGACCCTTGGCTGCAAGTCCAGTTCTGCGGAAAACAGGATGGCTGCACAACGACGGCGTCTGCTGGTTTTCATGTGTGGGATCATGTGGGTGTGTATTTTTTGGGGGGGAACCTCCACCACTGGGTGTACGTCGTACGTGGTCTTGGAAGTCCAAACGCCTGGGAGGTCCATTCCTCGTCCACGTCGCTTGAGGCGTCGTCGCCTTCGAGGACGTCTGTCGTCGGTCGTCTGTTGAGGCTTGGAGTTCCGGAGTTTCTTCATCAGTGACCTGGACAGCGACGATCGGAAGACCGGACCGTTGGCGTGGCCGGAGGGGAAACCAACGGTGGAGACCGTTGAGTCACGCGGTTTGGGAGACCAGTTCGGAGACCGGTTGGGCATCTGAGGTGACTAGACCACTAGAAGACTGATGAAGACTGGAGCTGTTTCCTGAAATGAGCTTTGACTCTACAAAAAGCTACCGATAAGAGACACTGCTGGGTGCTCGGGCGAGGTTCAATGGCAAGTCCTTTGTCATCGCGGACAGCGGTCACCTGGCGGTTCAGTGATTGCCCTTTGCGGGTAAAGCACGGCTTACCACAGAAGAAACACATTTCCCCTCTTCATATCCCTGCCAAAGCTCTCAGTTGGATCATGGATCATACTATTTTGTTATTTGGAAACAGTGCTACTTCCTGCTCCGTGGGTGGGAAGATTGTACACTTGCGACACTATGCAGCCTTAGGGCAGCATAATTAAACGTTCCAAGGTTAACAGTCAGGGGCACTAGACCGCGGGATTGGACCTGTCAGTCAAGTATATACAGTAAGTCAGTAAATCAAATGGTGGTGGCCAAATGTTTTGGGATCAGTACAACCTTACGTATGGTAGTCTTCCACTGGTCTTCCACCGCTATACAGCCTGGCTGTGTTCCAACAACAATGTCTTCCACAGGGCCCTTCCTCAGACGGGTTCAAATACTGTTTGGATATTGATCATTGGCACCATTGCTTGCTTTGTTGTACGTACTGACTGTGAGAGAGTGCACAGACATGTCACGCTGGATATTTCTGGACATCCCAGAGGCTACGTCATCAAAGACACTCATGGGGAGTGGCTGGAGGTTGGTCTGGACCTCGGTTCTACTGAGGAGCCATGACTCTTTAACTTGTACATTGAAGCTTTGGACCGTGAAAGGGTTGAAAGCCTCTATGCCTCTTAAAAGTTGTAGCTGTCATGTGTAAGTGGCGAGCTCTTTTCATTGCTGTTTGGCATTCGGATTTGTCAGCCGTTTCTATCGCATATCAACCGATGAAAGAGGACTTTGGAGCGGATGTGCCTAGGCTTTGACGTGCGCAAGTTTCCGTTCCTCTTTGTGGCAGCTCGATGCAGCGACATGATTGGCTTTTCAAGTCAGAGTGTTTTTCAATTTTTGGTCTCGGCTTACTTGGAACTGGTGCTTCTGCATGGTTTTTCTTTGGTCTTTGCTTTGCTCACATGAGAACTGCCGGTCGCGTCGATGGGTTTCTGCACCAAGGAAGTGCTCTACAACTTTCGTGACTTCATTCCAAAGGTCGATAATGACATCCCAAGAGTGGCCAAGAGTGAGTGATATGGATCAGCTGATTGTCAGGGAGCGATGATGCAAGATGATGCAAGAGATGTCTTGATGTGACAAACTGGAGCGAGATTTCTTCAAAAAACGCAGATGCTTTTAATCGTGCCAGGCGAAATGTCACTATGGTTTCACGGTACAGGCGGGATAGAAGAAAGACCAATGGTGGATGAATCAATGCCGAGTTGGTTCTCAGTTGTTTGAAGGAAAGGACAAAAGCACTTCAATTCAATTCATGGCGCCATGGCACTATGCTTCTGTCTTGTCTACGAGTTTGGCTTTGCGTGCTTTTTGGTTCAGAACATGAAAGTAGCAGCGAGTCAGGCACATTGCCAAAGTATGGACTCGTTTACTAGTAACAAGGGCATCGCTACTAGGGGCTCCTGGCATCGCTACTAGGAGCAAGGATGCTACTAGGGGCTCCTGGCCTTACTACTAGTAACAAGAAGCTACTGTTACATGCTGATTGAGCGTGGAACAGGCGGTCGACGACGAGGACATGCCTGAAGGTATTGTTTGTGGCTTGGCGGGCGCATTTGCCTGAAGTGAGGGCCAGGGGTTGCGGTTGTGGTTATTGTGGCCACAAATAGATTTGCCCCAAGGCAATGCTTGGATTCTGCTGGTTGCATGAGCAAAACCTGGAATTAATTACTGTAGTAACTTTGGGGGAGAGCACAACCTGAGCGGTCGGTCTCAGACAAAGCACTTAGTTCAGAGCCCATGAACACATCGACATTAAGCTACTGTATTGAAGTTTCGGCTAGTCGTTTGTCGTTTGTCAAGTTGAGATCATGTTGACATTCTCCTCGTGCTAGCGGATGTGCAGCATATTGCAGGATGAGGTTTCTTAGGCCCCTAGCTTGCTTCTGGTGTGGGCGATGTTTCCGCCTGAAGAGCTTTGTGTGAAAGAACAGAGATTTTGTGGATGAGGTGACGTGTACATGTCGGGCATCAACATTATGGATGACCCCTTCGAGCTCCAGCTCTAGTTGGGAAAAAGCAGCTCGTGGGTCTTTGCACGATCGTTTGGAGCAAACACCCGAACGGAGACATTTCACGAGGTCTGTCACAAGCGGTTGGTCTAAATGTCGGCGCCCCTCGCAGGCTGGGCGAACGGGCCGTTTGCCCCATCCCTATGGCAAGGCGGTGATTGTGGCGCACGGCCTCTTGGCCATAAAGCCTAAATGTGAAGATGTGAAGTCCGGAGCAAGTCTGCTGCTTGGTCTCCAACCTAGTAGCTTCTTGCTCTTAGTAGCGATGCCCTTTGTTCCTAGTAGCTTCTTGTTACTAGTAAGGCCAGGAGCTACTAGTAGCTTCCAAGTAAGAGTATGAGGCCACCGAGACTTCACACTCTCTAACTAGTATCCTTGTGCGTAGAAGCCAAACCAATCACTGCATGGCAAACGCGTTCCTGTTTCTTCAAGTGTTTGAATGTGTCAAGCATCGCAATGTATCGCATATCGCGCTATGATGCACCGTAGTGGCTAGGACGTTTTGACAAGAAGAGCCATAGCTTTGTGGTGTTGGGGACGCCATGGGATGCTCAGATCGGCTCAAGTGGGACTTGACCTGGGCCCTCCCTTAGTTGCTCAGCTGATACACGCTCCTTCCATCGGCAGAATGCTCAGCATGGCCAGCTTCCTGCCAAGCCACGCGAAGGGAAGCATTGGTGAAGCCATGATTTACAAGATCTTCTATGTTGAGATCCTTGCCTCTCCAGATCTATGGGTATGCCCCGCACCCCTTTTTTGATTTTATTGCAAACTTGCAAATCCATATGAGCAGCATCTAAAAGGGTTTGCACACAAATCTTTAAACATATTTATGTGAGAGGAACTTTTGCATAGAAATCATGAGGGGACCCTGTAAAGCGAGATAGTGGACAACCAAAAGCGATACCCTCACAAGGTACACCTCGATCATTTGATTCAAACCTTATCGTTGCTTTTGTGGCTTTACATAAAGCGATACCTAAGCAACTCCTATCCTTAGATAACATGATGGTGGAGGATGCCTGATGTAACGCTCTAGAAAAAGAAGAAGGAACGGCTGCAGTGTCCACAGAGTGCTTGCTTGCCTGGGCAATTGCCGGATCAGATTCGACTTCGCCGGATCAGCGTCAGGGATCAGCGTCTGGGATCAGATTCCTTTCGGCCGGATCAGCGTTGTAGGATCAGATTCTAGCGGGACGGTCGGGATGGTTGGGATGGTCGAGATGGTCGGGACGGTCGGGATGATCGTGATAGCCGGTGCGCAGCCAGTTAGCAACAACAGTTGGAATATAGTTTATACTCGACCTCGCCGAATCAGCGTTATAGTTACGGATTAGCGTCAACGATATAGGATCCTTGGTCGGGATGGTCGGGACGGTCGGGGTGGTCGGGATAGCCGGTGCACAACCAGTTAGTTACAACAGTCGGCATAGTTTTTCCTCGACTTCGCCAAACCAGCGTAAGTTCGGGATCAGCGCCAACGATATAGGAGCCTTGGTCGGGATGGTCGGGATAGCCGGAGCACAACCAGCTAGCAACAACAGTTGGAATAGTTTTTCCTCGACTTCGCCGAACCAGCGTAAGTTCGGGATAAGCGTCAACGATATAGGATCAATTGGTCGGGATGGTCGGGACGGTCGGGATGGTCGGGATGGTCGGGACGGTCGGGATGATGTTGCGCGCGCGCCCGTCGAGTCTACGATTCCGATCTGACCAAATAGATTCCGATCCTACGATTCCGATCTGACCAAGTAGATACAACGAATCCGATCCGAACAACACCCTTGCTTGCCTGCCTGCCTGCCTACTTCCTTACTACCTTACCTTACCTCACCTTACCTGACTTACCTTCCTTACCTTGCTTACCTTTCTTACCTTGCTTGCCTACTTGCTTGCTTGCTTACTTGCTTGCTTGCTTGCTTGCTTACTTACTTCCTCCCTTCCTCTCTCTCTCTCTCTTTGTCTCCCTCTCCACCCATGTCCGTCTCCCTCTCTGCCCATGTCCATGTGTAGCTCAAATTTGTGGTGATTTCAAGAGAAAGTCTGCCGAAAGACGATACAGCCATCCGAAATGCTGTAATTGAGATAGCGAACAAGAACATGCGATACCAACATATGGAGCTACGCTTTTTGTGCCCATAGGTTTTGGCCCCCGCTCATATTGGGGTAAGCATATGACCAGCTACATTGAGTATATATATATATTCTTTTCTTGTGGTGGTCACTGGGATGGTGAGGATCGAGCATCCATTCCTTCGCCGTTTTGTACAGCTGCTTCATTTCGTCCTGGCTGCACCCTGGTTCATTGTTTGGTGGGGCTGGGAGCGATACTTTGAGATGGTCCGCTTCTTCGTGGTTTCCGCCCATACCTTTGAACTGGACTACAAGGCCATCCTGACTCCTTTGCAGATCAAGGGAGTTGTGCACGTGGGAGCGAATGTGGGCCACTTGGCGGTATCCCACTGACTTTTGCTTTGGAATGCGATCAGATTGGTGTAGTGCCACATGCTGAAGCCTAACTTAGAGTAACTGATATAGACTTTTCTATAGTGCCAGGTAGTGCATCTCCCAACATCTTAGGTCAAGAGGCAGCGGTCTACGATGAGCTGGGCGTGCCGAAAGTCCTCTGGATTGAAGCACAGGAGGACTGCCGAGGGGCCCTGGAGGGAGCACTCAAAAAGCACCATCGTGATGAGGATGTGGTGGCCATCACAGCAGTATCTGGCGAGGAAGGCTCTGCCACCCTCTTCCAGATGGACAACTCCATCTCGAGCTCCTTGAAGCCATTGGGCTCTGGTCACAAGCATTTCTTCCCATTCATTCAGCAGGCGAAGACACAGCAACTGCAGACAGAGACTCTGGATGGTTTGTTGAAGCGCTTGTCCTTGAACCCCCGCGAGTTCGACTTCATGTATTTGGATGTGCAGGGCAGTGAGCTGGATGTGCTAAAGGGAAGCACAACACAAGTGCTTCCACATATTCGCTACCTCGTCACAGAAGTTTCAGCAGAGGAGCATTACAAGGGAGGTTGCCTGGAAAAAGACCTGCATGAATTCTTGGTTAGCCAAGGTTTTTCGCTTGTACAGAGGCACATGCCTCCCATTGGGCATGGCAATTCCTTCTACACCCGTGAACAGTAAAGGCAGTAAAGGCAACGTCCTTTACATGCGACCCATCTTTGCCGCCAACCTGCACCCAACAGCAGGCTCGACTGTGAAAGTCGACGGATGTGATGCACAGTGGACCAGATGTAAAGGATGGTCCTATGAGGTGCTCTTGGTGGCATGGATTTACAAGGGTAAAAATGGTAAAAGGATTCAAAAGGAAGAAATTGAACCACTAATAAGGAGAAGAAGGGCTTTGGAGGCTTTTTAACCAGTCCATCGTGGACACCCAGAAAAATGGGGACCCATTCATTTGAGGCCGAGAGGTGGCGAAAGTCACCAACGGCTTCATGGATGAGATTGGCATCAAATGTGAGCCTTTAGCAATGGCCCAAGAAGCAGACGGAGTGACGTGGGCCATGGATGGCCATGATTAACCTCTCCTTTATCTTGGACTCAAACCCATTTGGCCAAACATCTCGACGTCCAACATGCCACGAACGACGCGGTGAGAACTGCGTTTGCCTGAACAGAGTGACTCGTTGGGGGAAGTTTTTCGCTGAAAAAACGCCCAGGGCTGGGGAAGCCCACGCTTGTCCGGAACCTAAGTCTTTTGGAGACATGAGGAAACGCTTAGTAGTACCCTTTGGAGTTAGGTCATGCATGCTGAACAACATGTCCCATTCCCACTCTTCCACGTAAAAGGGTTTATGTTCTTCCAGCCTACCTCATTCTCATGGAGCAGAGGCATATTTGTTTCACAAAGCAGGTCATGAGTCCTGAGCGAGGCATCCAACCAAGGAAACAGGTCGGTGCTATGTCCTAAAGAACCCCTCCAAAAGATGGATTTGGAAGCAGAGCCCACACACTGACCATACTGACCTATATTTGGAGGCAATGGTGTCCAATTGTGCACCTCGTTTTGCTCAGGGAAGACGTCGCCGATTTGGTGGATCCTACAAGGAGGAACCCGAAAGTTCGGGTCGCGGACCACTTCCATTTGTCGTCACTGTTTTTTGGGTTAAAGGTGTGGTTTTACCACGTTGTGTCCACGATGCAGATCGAACTTTGACCATGTGCTGCCCTGTCCGGTCACCTTGTCTTTGGCCGTGTGACCGTTCCAGGAGCTCACACACTTGGCTTGACGATCTACAGTCCGAAGAGGTTCGGATTTGGTGAGTCATTAAGTCAACGAGTCAGCTCACCTCAATGACAAGCTGAAAGTCAGCTTGCTGAGATGAAGCCACCTGGCCAACCCTGGCCATCTCAACATGTTTTCAAGCCTTGGATGTCTTAGGCTTGATGTGATGGATGTGTTGAGTTCGGTGTGTTTCGAACATCTCACAGGAGAAGCAGCAGCAAAGAAGTGAGGCAGTGGCACGGACGATAGACTTGATATGACTTGATGATGTTTGTTTGACATTGTATCCAGGAAGCAAGAATTCAATTTTCCACTGAGCCTCCCTGGAACATAAATCCATTTGAAGCAATGTTCTTGACTCTTGACACTCCAAGGTGGACAGAGATGAATGAAGCTTCCAAGATCTTCATGTGCAGGGTATGACATTTGGCAGACCCAGACGGCAAAAACCACATGTTTTGTACTGAAGTGGATGAGTTTTACCATGCGCATGGGGGATTGATGTGGTCCAGGCTGGCAGCCGCCTGGACGCAGCACTGGGCCCGCCGGTGCGTCGTTTGAGGCGAATAGAGTTGTCTCAACTACAGTAATTAGACATGGCAAACCTTGGCAGGATGTCCAGGGATGCTCCAATCAAAAATGAGTTTATGAGTTGGTGAATGGCCTTTCAATCTGGTTGCTTGACACCTTTGGCCGTTCATTCTGTGGCGCTGATGCTCAGGAGAAGCTGGGCGAAAGAAGTGGCTCCTCCGTCCTGATTGAGATGAAAAGGGGCGAGCTGAGCATCAGCGTTGAAAGGAAAGACATGCTGAGTCCACCATCCACCAAGGTGCGAACTAGTCTCAAGACCAGCATCTCTATAAAGCACATTTGGTATCATGAAGAAGCTGTAGGTTTTTGCCACAACCAGAGCTTCATATGATCACGTCAGGCAGATTTCCTTAGATAGTGTAGCCTGTTGTTGGGAATCCAGCCAGACCCTGGGATCCATTGTCTACCATCTGTTGCCCAGCCTTCGCACATCACCTGGCCCTGCCGCGCCCTGCGGCCAATTTGGACCAATTACAGCTGCCATAGAAACAGTGACAGGCTGAACAAGGGATTTGAGCAGTTTACTGAAGGATGCTCAGACTGAAACTTACACTTTGACCGCAATATGTTCTTTCGAGTGTCTCGCGTGATTCGCTTTGGGAGGACTTGAGTTGTCTGGGAAGATTGCATTTGACTCTTTTTGGATCTTTTTGGTATAAGTATGGACTACAGTGACTACAGATTTCAGTGGAGCCAAGTCTCACATTGGATGGCATCGCTCAAGTCTTGATTCAGCAGGCATAAACCACTAAGAATGATCATATATCTCAGTTATGAGTTATCATGCTGTCCCGTTCCACCGGCGATGTTCCCCTCTGACAGGCAGTGTGATGGCCTACTCCCCTGCACGAGGATCGCCGTCACTCTACCATCGAAGTACCCCTCTTCGAAGACACAAAAGAGCGGGTGATAAGACAATGGAATGTGTGAGCTAAAAGCAAAGAACACATAAGCAAAGAACACATAAGAAGCTAGAAAAGGACTTCAGGCAACGTCTTTGCCCACCTTCAAAGGGATGGGTGGCACCAAAACTCAGGTGCTAATGGTGCAGTGCTAAGAAACTGTCCTTTGCAGCTCTTTCGCGTCGCTTCGTATTGACCGTTGCCATTCTCATCTCCAGGCATCCATCGAGTTCCTCCCGAGAAGGATCGAGTTCGCCCCGAGAAGCAGTTCAGTGGTTCGATCGGTTCGGACATGCAGCCAGGGTTGCCCAGATGGGCGCGCACGGGCACATGGACGGTTTGAGTTTGGTTTCTAGATATACCGGATCCTGATGGATCCAGGTTCCAGTTGTGAGCAGGTTTCGATCCACCGGCCAAGGGGCCCTAATGAATATCAATGAATATCAACTTTGTCCTTCGTTTTTGGAAGAAGGATCAGTGAATCTCCTGAATCTGCAAAGCAACCATTAGAGATTTCATGACCAACGGAGCATGCGGAGCTTGCCTTTTCGCACTTGGCCCAGGTTACCTGCAACCCGAAGTAGTTCAGGCTCGTGGGCTCCAGCGTTTGGATGCCTTCAACGGTGGGTGAATTGGTCTGAGACTATTCTCACAATTTCCAGGACTTCCATTCAAAAATATCAAAAGGCAATAGAGTTGCAGGTTTCTTTTCTTGTGGAAGGTTTGTTGACACCGCAAATTCATGTAATGATATTCTGTGGGAGTGCCGAAACTTAGCTGGACAGCCCGGCACATTTGGCACTGGGAGTTCCACACTTTCACTGTGACTTAGTCAGAGAACTCCCTTGGCACTTTGCACTTCATCCTTTGTGGGTGCAAAGATTTTAAGGGAAGTCATCCAGACAGGATCCGGCTCTCCCGACATCGCAGGACCAAATCTGCGGAACCTCTCAGGGCCTCTCACGCCCGCTGGTCGCAGCACCAGTCTGCTGGGATCCTGGTAGGAGGGCCATGGGAGTCGACCACGAGGCCACACAACTTGTTTCATCGACAGTCCACACGACCAGCACTAGTTAGTCACTAGTTGGGTATTTTGGAAGGACCTTCGCTTTGAGCAATGGTATCCATACGGAAACAAACACCATGACACTTGTGCTACGACAGGAAGTGAGAAAGGTGGATGAACCCCTTGAATCTCCCTGATATTGTGTACAAGGATGACTTTCCATGGAAAGGGGCGAGGAGATGGACAACTTATTCATAATCCGCTTTCTTTTTTCTACATGAGCCAAACCATGTTCCAAGCACTGATGCCATCCAGCATCCTTGCCATTGAGACAAAGAAGTGGTTTGAGGGACCCGAAGGTGGACCCTAAACTGCCAACACCTCAGTAAACATCTCATGGCCATCGACTAAGGCGTGTTCCTGCTGGCACTCCTGCGAATGCACCATCGACTCCGCTGACACTGCCTGAAGGCGCTTCACGGGCTCCGCCCGGGGATGTCCCCACGCGGCTGTCTAAGAGGCCCAACTAGACGAAACACTGAATTTATGCAAATGTGCAATGATTCTCTTCCGTACCGACTTCACATGCTTCCTGTATCTTCCAGTCTTATAATGCTCAGAACAGTCCAGTATATCGGGGCGCTGGAAAGTTGAGGAGCTGGTGGGGTACTTGAAAGTCTTTGATTTTCAGTGAAGGTTCTTCCACCCACCCTCGCTGCTCATGTTATTTTATGTTGCCTCCCCCAGACTACTTTGTACATCTCGGACCCAAGCAGGGCCTTAGAAAGAAGGATTGCTTTCTTGTGCCTTTGTGACTTTGGTTTATTGGGTGAACAATAGCGAACATCCTCTCATGAAGAACCGCTTTGTTAGTTTTTGCAGACTCAGGGTGCTCCAGTGGCCACCCGTGAGTAAAGTTGATTGATCATCTATGGCCCATAAACTTCCGTTCACGAACGAACCCGTTCCAACACTTTGGACCCAAGGAGTGCTGTTGTCCCCTTCGTTCAGGTTGAGTGTTGCGAAGAGCTGATGAAAGACATGTTTCTGCTGTGCAGACATCGACGTCGTCAACCCTCATCACTTATTGCAGGTGCATTGGCCACCTCCAATGGTGCACCAGTGACCGCATCGCCAACGTCACAGGCGAGTTGGTCAGAGTGAAAGGGAATTCTAATGAATTCTGCCTCAGCTGAAAAGCTTGTTTCTAATAGCTTCTTGTTACTACTAGTAAGGCACTTGTTACTACTAGCGTGGCACTTGTTACTACTAGCGTGGCACTTGGTGTTCTACTATGGCTATGACTCAAACATGGCAATGTTGGCTTCGCCCAGTCTGGCCGTGCGTTTACACCTGTGACACCAAATGCTCGTGCACAGCCGGGAGCCTGAGTGGATGCCGAAACTTTCAACATATGCAGCAGAGTCGGTGTTGTATTTGGAATATTTCAAGCAGTGAATCTTGAACATCACTTTAGTTTGTTCTCCTGTGGCACCTTGTTTCACTATGTTCGAAGACTTAACTTTGTCTTTTGCCCATGGAACGACTGAATCCATTCGGCTGTACCTCAGGATGGTGGCTTCGCTGCAGAACGGGTCTCTTCCTTTTGGCAGTGAAGAGCTCACCTTTGGCGTGTGGCGTCGAGATGCATGGGCCCCCAGAGTGATGAGAGGTTCATCTTGTTCGGTACACATGAGCTATCATGAGCTATCATGAGCTCATGCACTCATCACGTGCCCTTGAATTTGCTTGATCACAGTCCTTCTACAAGCTGAACTGGGTAGCCGCAGCTGCTTTGCTGACGTTCCTTCCGAGATCTGAAATGTTGCCCGTCAACAAAGGAACCAAGGTCATTCAGAGGCGAACCTTTTCTGAGTTTCATATCCGAACCCATCACCTCACACATATCTACTGTATTCTACTGTATAACTTCTAGGTACAGGTAGAGGTCTTTGAATGCCTTGGGTGACTCTGGCGCTCATCGCTGGGCAGGCGCAGACCCCTCCATTGACTCTGATTTGAAAGTAATTAGTGCTCGAGGACCGCCTTTTCCATACTTTCTCCTGCCCTTGCTTATTTGACTGTATGCCACCACTTCATAATATACAAGGTGCAATCTGTTGGCAACAACAACAACAACATTGATCTCCCAAGCAACCAGCTGGATATGTCCCTACCCAGCACATTTGTGTCAATATCTAACAAATGGTTGCAACTGATGAATCAAACAGGCTTTTGGATGTTTTTAGGTGCATGTTGATGCGGAGGAAGGATGAGGAAGCATTGGGCCTTCCCTCAGACCCCTCCCAGCTGTTTGGATTTGAATAAGAATCTATATGTCCACACTGATCATACTTGCGCTGATCGTGCTTATTATATACCTGCCTCCAAGCGAGCGTGCTTGTTCCATCCTACGTTTCCACTCGCCTCACTTTTCACACCTTTGTGATGCTTACAACAATGACGCACGTATATTCACAGTACAGTAATTTCAGCACTTCATTGGCTTGTGGTGTTCCTTTGGCCGCTCGACGCTGTAAATGCACAGGTGGAAAGTTGCAATCAACATGGATTCGCATTTGGCTGGTTATACTGCAATCTATGGCTACAGAAAGATGTTTGCCAGTTTGTGCGTGAATGGTCAATGTTTTCCGTTTCAACATTTCACATTCTTAAGTTTTTCCTTTGTAAACCAAGGTTGCAGATCTGCACATGCTATTTCAGGACCTGCGGTGGGTCAGGATGTCATGTCCTGAAAGTCCTATTGGCAAGATCTGGCAAGACCTCGTGATTAAACCACTACGAACAAGATTCACGTACGGCTGGAGGCCAAGTCAGTCGTGGTTCCAACTCCCAACCGGCAATGTCCAGGAGAAAAATGTGGAGGAGGAGACAGTCAGGCAGGATTTTTCAGCAGTGACAATCTCCCACCCTCCATGATCATGGTTCAATCAAAAAGGCTATCATTTGTTTTCAAGCACAAGTAGTAAATACCAACATGTCGTCTTGCATGCGAGCCCGGAGGCCTCTGGGTAGTTTCTCCTCTTATTGTTTGGTGGTACACGCATAGTCTGCGAGCGTCAATGCCACAGACTCCAAGTTTGCCACCGTGATTTCTTGTGAGGAATCTGGGTGAGCCCGTGTTTTCGCTGGGGTGGCCCAGTAGTGTGTGGAGAACTTTGAAAGCAGGAAAGCAGCCGCACCGCTGCGCCTATGTTTTCATTCCAATTCTTGTGATTTTCAAGGATGACAGGTGATATTTGTATGGTTCCACGATGGCTACGGTTATTTAGAAATGTAACAACCATCTTCAGCCAACAGCACAGCATTCGACATTCCAAATTGGCCTCCACTTCTAAGGAGCGTGTCTTTCTTGCTCCCAACAGCTTCAGCCACAGAGGAGGACTCTACTGCATGCTGCAAAGGCGAGGTTCCTCCATAAAACCTGAACCTGCAGAACTGGGCCTATTTAACACACTCAGCCGTGTGTGGTAGATGTCCAACATGGAGTGTTGAGACTTGTTTTTAGATTCAACCGCCATCTTGCTGGAAAACCAGAAAGCTCCAGAATCTCCAGTCCGGAGTCAAGTCCGCATTCCGATCTGTAGGCATAGCGCATTATCGACCCCAGTCGGAGTCTCAGTGCAATGTGAACGTGATACATTCTGCAAGCATGACTTTGCCATTGCAAAAACCATTGATGGTGTGGTCCAATTACGTCACCGCTTCCTTTGACAAGTTCATTGATGGGAAGACTGTTTTCCCTGTATGGGAAGCTCAAACAAAAGCAACACGGTGCACAGTTGTTTTGCCCCGATGACACACCGAACAATTGGACGCTTAAAACCCGACAGCTGGGTGGCCAGGACCTACGACTGGCTGACAGGGCGGATGTCTACATCTAGAAAGGCAGGGGCTCGGTGTTTCATATTCAGCTTAAATTTGAGGCCAACAATTTCACCATCATACCGGAAGAACAGGAATGTCCAAGTGATGGTGGTCCCAAATACGACTATATATTTGAGGGGTTCTATCGCAAAATGGAATCTTGCATGCTGTGAGCGGGCTTTAAGTCCAGCCCTTAGCTGATTCAGCTGCCTGACTTGCACTTGGCAAGTTGCGAACTCGTCAAAATGAACAGAGCACGAACGCTGTGCCCGCAGCACGTCCTCGTGTTCTTCTTCATGGTTCTTGAGGCTGGTTGTGGCAGGAGGAAAAAATATAGGTCTCATAAGAAGGGGCAAAAAGCAAAGAGACAGTCAGATAGTTCCAGATTCCTCAGAGGAAATATTGGGATGGACGGATTGTTCCTGCAATGGTCTATATGGAAGTGTTGTATATTGTGTAGCTTTCATGGGTCTTGCTCCATCTACTGCTGTCCTTGGCTATTTGCTTTTATTGTGTTGGTGGCAGGCATAGTGGCATTGCTTGACACTCTTGTTAATTCACTTCAACTGCCTCATGGAGTCACTTGAAATCAAGCCATGTAAGGAAGAGTATCCTTTGATACCTGAGATCCCTTTTCATTAGAGCAAAACGTGAAAGAAATACTAAAGAGCCGCCAGGGCATACGCCTAATTTTGGCGAAGCGTGCTTTCATTCCAGGCTGGGTTCAATACTTTTGTGGACGCAGAACCTCTGTAGAACACGCGTTGGTTGGTTCAGCCGTTGTTGCAATCTGTTAGTCATCAGCGTGCTTGACGACGACGACGACGACATCTATCCAGCCATTCGGTGTGTATCAGTGAATCATTGTCGACCTGTTGCTAACCAGGCATCAACATGCTATCTATCCTGGTAGTTGAAAATCTATCTTCCTTCGCCCAAGCCTCAGCTTCAGGCGAAAGAAATTGTCTTAGAGTGGGCAGGGGGTGCCTTCTTTGACACCATAGATGGCAACCATGGGTTGTAACGATGAATTACAGTAATCCTTTAGTTCAGTCGCTATAGCATTTTGGTGTTCTGTTTTTTTAATTTTATTTTTTCCGAAGCCGCGTGTGTTTTTCTTGGTGTCTTGCGGAGTTTGGGTGTGTGACATGTGAACACGGCCTTTTTGGAGCCAATGGAGTGGAACTCTCGGCGCACAGCAGCGACGCAGCAGTTTCAACCGGTCAAGACAACGCAGTACCGAAAAAGCGGCCCAAAGAGATGTGCGGCCCTCAGGACAACGCAGTCACTCATAGCAGGTCGGAGTTCGGAGGGGTCTTACAAGATAAACATGTCGTGATTTGTGGGGGAGAGTTTTCAAAGTGTTGATCTACCATGACACAAAGTATTATTACACCCGCCAACCTGCGCATTAACTCACACAAGATGTTGCTGTTCAGGTGAGTCGTCTCACCCGTCGTGAGTCTTTCTGGTCGATTATTTAGATTTTCTTTGCCCAACTTCCGAAGTCATTTGGATTGTCGCTGTCCTGAATTTGATCTGGGGGACGATCGCATCATCTGTCGCCCCTGCTTTCGAGGTTTGGTGGCATCATCAGTTGGTTCACTGATCTGTTCAGATCTTTGGGACTCCTTGCACAGAAGTGCCTTGGCAAACGACAAAGCGCCGGCTTGTTCCGATCACATGTGAGTTCCAACAAAGCAGAGGACATTTTGGGCAAGTCGAGGTTGGACTTAATAGTTGTCCTTCCATTCACAAACAACTAGGAGCAAGGACGCTACTAGGGGCTCGGCCATTCCGTGAGGCGAGCAAAGATTTGTTTCCTTGGCCTGGACAATGCTGGGTGACTTGGCTGGAGCTTGGCGACCCATCCAAACTGTCGATTGAGAATCTTCCCTGTGGTGTCTTTATTTTGTAAGCCCGCCCTTACTTTTATATACTTATATAATATTAAAATATATTAAGTAGGAGATAGTAGGAGTCTTTTTAGCCCGTGGGGTCCGGGGGATAGGTTGAGAAGAGGAAGTAGCTAGGTAGCTAGTAGCTTAAGTCGCTTCTACTTAGGACGCAGGATAGCTCACGCTAATTCCTAGATGTTTTTTGAAGGGCTAAGCATCAAGATGCATCAAGCCTTGTCCAAGGAAAACCACGCTCCTCCAGATGTTGCGCGATGGCCGCCTATCTTTGAATGCCCCAACGCTCTATCCGAACAACGAGGCTTGTGGGCTCCCAGAAATGCCGCCGCCGCCGGCAGCAAGTGTTTACGAGTCGAAGTAGGAAAGTGCAAGTGTGAATGGGTGATGTTGCTTAGTGTTGCATGCCGTTGCCTCACTCTGGAAGTAGAGTCATGTACTGTAGATCAGGCGCAAATCCGCTGCATCTCCCAGGAGCTGCAGATTTGCGGCATCCGGTTCCGCACCTTTGACTTGGGTGGCCATGAAACTGCTCGACGAATTTGGAAGGAGACTTGGGATGTTCCAACAGATGAGCGGTGGCTGAGGAACTGTATTGGATACAGTAAATTGATGTAAATTGCTTAGAAGATGAAGAAGAAGAAGAAGAAGATGATGATGATGATGATGATAGACAAATGCTATAATATGCTAGATGAAATGGTAGCAGAGCAGAACATCCAGATCATTTCTTCGAGAACCTCAGTAAAAAACATGACGGAATTTGGAAGGACTACTTGACAGCAGTGGACGGCGTCATCTTTCTGGTGGATGCCGCAGATCGAACACGTTTCGAAGAGGCGGGTCAGACCTGACAGGGCCCGACGACAGGATGACACAGCGGTCCAATGGCCAACCACCGGGCGCCGGTGCGGCTGAAGCGGTCGAACAACGACGAACGTGAGGTCACGCAAGCTCGCAAGGGAAGTCGGATGATGCGACTCGGCTCCCTTGCTTCATTTTGCTTGATTGAGCCCACCACAGCAACACATCAACTGATCATCGCATGATATCGCTTGTTTCGTTTGTGGACGTCCTTTTGCCAAACGTTTTTACTTCGGGAGCATGGCCCTTGAACTCAACCAGTTCCCTAATTTGGCAGACCAACTCGATAGCTTTTGTTCACTTCCGAAGCCTCAGTTGCCTGCCGCTTGTTTGTGTTTCTTCTATCAACAATGACAGCACCTCACTCCAACCGCCCTTTCCACAATAAGTTCCTTGGATACAAGACAGGGAAGGCGGCCCATGGATGCCAATGGGATTCCAATTCCGGGTCCGTCCTCCCTGGGAGTCTATGCGTGATGGACGTGCATCGCTTGGTCAGGCAGCTGAGGAGCTGGGGCGCTTGCTGGATGATCCAGCATTGGCCAAGGTTCCATTCGCTGTCCTAGGCACGGAAGTGTTGTGAGGTCCATTCAGCGTGGTTGCTTTGCGTGGTTGCTGTGCGTTTGCTTCACTGATGGCAAAGGTTGAGGAGGATATGCTTGCTTGCTGTTCTCGCCGTGGGTGAGATGAGCCAACCTTTGGTGTCCGCCCACGGTGTTTTGATACTTATCCAGCGGTGTTTTCGGGGATGCCGAACATGGGTCAACCGGGTTGAGGTCTTCAAACCAAGAGCCTTCATCCAATCCATGGTGCGACCTTCCATCCTGCGAGGCAACAAGATCGATATCCCTGTGGCAGCATCAGAAGATGAGCTTCGACACTCCCTTGGCCTTTACACCCATATGACCTCAGGCTGGACATATTGGAGCGTGAACTCTCAGCCACGAGGTAGGTTGGATTCATTCATTTCAAAGTTTGAACCGGAGTGCTTAACAATCTGAAACATTCGTCAAATCAGAAATCATATAAATAACTATAAAGTTATAAAGCTACTAGTAGCTTCTTGCTACTAGTAGGAATGGCCTCCACCCTAGTAGCGATCGCCTCCACCTAGTAGTGTCCTTGCTACTGGTAGCGTCCTTAGGAGTTATATACTGTTCTGATTCTGTACCAGTATCCCGTCCACACTCCTAGTGTCAAAGGTGCCACGGAAACTTCGCGACTGTTACGCGAGTTGGTTGCCAGGCTTCATCGTAGTCTTAATGTTGAAAGTGTTTGGCTGGAAGTCCAGATTCAAGACAGCAGTGGAGACAAAGGATGGACCAAACCTTCTTTTGTCAGTTGAGTGGTGTCAGTTTTTATATGCAAAAATCAGAACTGCTTGTTTTCTGTAGCGCAGTTGATCAAGGTCTTCTCAGGTAGTCTCAACAATCGGTACAACCACAGCTTGACTGAAGTTGTGTGCTCAATGTACACATATTTGCCAATGTGACTTATATATATATATACTTATAAAATACTCAGATTAGCACTCATTTTCACGCAAAAAGTACGATCCTGCAAGTACGATCCTGCAAGATTGTTGCAAGCAGAACCTGACAGGTAAATACGTGAACAAGGGAGAGCAGGCAGTCAGACCTTTGGAACTCTTTATGTGCTCCGTGGTGAAGCGCAGCATGGCTGATGGTATTTCACGGCTTAGTGAACCCGCTTCTGGGGGCGAAAAAACAGTTCAAGCACCTTTTCTATCGCCTTTTGGCCTACCCTTCTACCCGATTTGGATACAGATGTCTACCATTGAATGCCCACTAGCCAGCTTGCTGAGGCATGGGATATGCAGAGGCCTTTGATTGGCTTGCAAAGCTGGTGGCCCGTCAGGAAATTCCTGGAGACGATTGTTACAGACCATTGATACAAAGTAGCAACTAGGGGACTAATGGTCGTAGATGGCCTATGCTGCATGAGTAGTGGCAGATTACTCCAAGTCACTGCGATTGAATGATTCTTGCTCTGCATCTCAGGTTTGAACTGCCAAGCCCAAAAGCATCTTGACGATCACCCAATTCGGTAAGGTCCACCAGCAGAGCTTTTGATTGATAGTTTTATGTTTTGTATGTTCGTTCTTTGTCAAAGGCAACAGACAAAGCCCCTTGACTATACAAGATGTGTTGTTCAGCAACACGATGCAAAACCACTATTGCCTTTGTCCCCTGCACACATTGGTTTTGGCGACAGGATCCTGATGATATACAAAATAGAATATGCGTCCACCGCAAATGGTCATGCTGTCAGTGAAAAGTGGACATGGCAATGCTTGGTGTCTGTGTGTCAGTATGTGTGTGTCACAATCCTCAAGAGCTTTGCGACTGTGCAGACGGGCCTTCAAAGATGCATTGCAATCTTTGGCAGCTTTTGGTGACGAAACAGAGACTCTTAGGATCTCTTGGGGTTTCTCAACAAGAACGCTCCGGCTTTGGGCCTCCTTAGCCACTGATCTCTAACACATGCAATTGCACAGCTGAGCTCGCTGAGCTGTGGCCATTGTCCGTAGCTCCGTCTGTTAGTTGTAGCCATACCACATCGTAGCACAAGTTTGTCCAGAGGCGAGGCGTCCAGCACCACCCCGATTTTTTGTCACCAAAGTGCTCTTGCGTTGCGTCATGCAAAGCTTCCGGTGCTCTTCGAAGTCGGACGGGCGCATTTTACCTTTTACAGCATCACATGCACGGACTATCACCCTCGAGAGAAAGAGACCTTGGTATGGCTGAGCCAGAAGATTGATTGTCACGATGTCGCATCATTCATGGCAATTTAAGTTTGTTGCTACTTGTAGCTAGTAGTCAGCTTCACAACTTTGCACGTAGAATATCAGAAAGGGTTTAAGAATGTTCAAGATGGGTTAAGTGAGGCCGATCATCCTCAAGATTGGGGGAAGTGAACCTATCTTTTTCTGGTCCATGGCTGGACGTTGTTCGTAAGAATGTAAAGGCCTTTGGCAGATGACCTTGAGATTTTGTACTTCCGTGTTTTGCAGTCAGAGTTTGCACGTCCTGACACCCCTTTGAAGCATGCCCGACAAAGAGTGCAGTTTCAGGATAACAGAATGGCTGAATCCTTGCCGTTCCGTTCCAAATGACAAGCGGACCGTGCAGAAACCACCTCCGCAAAAATGGGCGTTATGTGCCGTATGCGTCCTGCGCACCTTTGCTTGGATGTGAATACAATGACATTAATCATTAAAGTCTATCAACGGGCTTGATTTTACAGACACACGTTCTTGTGTTTTGTTTTTTTGAAGTTGCCATTTCTGGTGGGCCTACAATTTGACACGCATATGACGCATATGTATTTAATACGCTTCTTATCTAGCATGTGGTACCTGATGATCTGGACACAATCTGCAGTTGTGCAAGGCTTCGGTCTGAAAGGTTTCTTTTCCAAGGTTTTGGCCTGCGTCATTACGCTCATCATGGAGGGCTCTGGGATCATTAAGGAAATGCTGCCGGGGGACCTGAAAGCGGCGTGCGGGGTATGGTGCGGGCCTCACCCTAGACTCCTTCGGAAGGACTTCCTCGTGTCCTTTTTCGGGACAGTGTTGGAGCGTTTGTTTTTTCGTCTATCAATGTCCCGAACAGCTTGACATGGCGAGCCACCACGATTTAGAGAATATTCTCTGCGCTAGAAAGCCTCGCAGGTCCTGGAGTCAGCTCTGGCGCTTCATGATCTCCGCGTTGATGTTCACAGCAGGCTCTGGCTTGGTGCGGATCCCTGTGGATCTCGGATCATGACATGTACTGCATCCTTGGAAAGTACAGGTTCTTGTTGTTTCTTCGTACATGTGATCATGAACATCAACAACTGTCAAGATGTATCATTATATCAAGATAGACTTCTGCAAAGGGTGTTGATGTTGGATCGAAAGTCAGAGGACATTGGACATCCCATCTTGTAAAAGAAACTTTCCTTTTTGCTGCTCCAACGCGCATGTTGACCGCAGCTTATTTCCAAGAGCTGAAAGGAACAAAGGGCGCAACGGTGCCTCATGCATCCTTTGACTTACGCGTTTCTTCAATTCTTCGGTCCACTACACATTTCGTGCCACACCTCCGGCCAAGACTACAAAGAAGTGCTGACCCCCCGCACCAGATGTTGAATTCTTGACAGAGTGCATTGGGGGTAAAATAGGAAATGACCTGCCAAATCCCATGTCCTTCCATCATTCCGCCGGCTTGGCAGCTGGCCCCAGGTTTTGGCTGCCTACTGCGTCGGCACCAGCCCAGTCGAGGTTGTTTGGAGCCTCTGCAACCTCTAGGAAAACATCCACCATCCTTATGGCGGATCCAAGATCCGATCCTCCGTGCCGTCCCGCATCGCTCCGCCGTGCCGCATCGCTCTGGTGCAAAGCCAAGGTGACCTTCGGATATAGCTACATGCCCATCTGCGCTGTGCCTGGCTCCCAGAGAAAAGACCAGTGAAGTGCCTCGGTGCTTGGCCGACTCAAATCGAGAGGAAGTGTGACAGGCAGCCTGAGTCAAGCTGCATTTGGGAGTGCTTTCAAAGAAGAACACAATCCAACAGGTTGAACCAAGTTGAAGGGCCAGGGCGGCCAGGGCTGTCTCTCAATGTCTCTCAGAGCCTCAGAAAAACAAGGCTAGGGCGGCTGCTTTGCGCATCTGCTTTTCGCATTTCTTTATCTCAATGGAACGTCCAGAATCACCACTAGGCCTCGTGACCAATTGGAATGTATGACAATTCAATTGGAATCTTGAACGCTATTATATATTTCTCCAGTTTGTCGCCTTGTCGTATTCAATGAGAAGTTTCAGCACCCAGGCTGAGCTACTTTGCTTTCAACAGGCACAGCTGGCTTTCGAGTGGAGAGATTATAGGAAGCAGGTTCCTTTCTGGAGGTCATGAAACTATGGCCCAACCGTCAGAAACCAGTGCCCAAATGCGATGTTTGTTCATGTGATTCATGTGTGATGAATGAAATTGGCATCAATGATGCTCTTCGTCATTTATATATGTTGAATATTCGTCATTTATATATGTTGAATATATAATTGATTGTTTCATGAAAGGGCCTTCATCCATGCTCATCATTCATTGGTGCAGTGTGTGAGGCGGTATGGACGTTTGGAGTGGCTATCAGTCAGCAAACTCAGTGCTGGATTCAATTTGATGTTAATTAGACACCTACACAATTCCCGTGCTCAGATTGAACTCGTGATGAGTGAAGCTCCGAGCCCAAGGTGGGTATGCTTACCTTGGGTGTCTTGGCTTTTGTCCTGCCAGAGCCCTGGTGAATGGAAGGAACAGCTCAGTGGAACATCTCAGTGGTGTCTTCGCTAAACTGAGTTCTTTGCCAAAGCCTCTTTGGCTAAAGGACGCTGGCTGAAGGGGCACGTCTGCATGGCCATGAGGATTCCCATCCGACAGATGAATGGAAAGGTGACGATTCTTGAGGTGATGCCCGAGAGTACTGTTCGCCAGCTCAAGAGGCAGCTGAAAGGCTGGCAGGTCTGCGAAGAGGAGCTGACACGTAAGATGAGTAAGGTAGATCTCATCGTTGGCGAAAAGCAGTTGGTTGATGGTGACGAGACTGTGATCCAGGCTGGAATTTCTCCTGAGGCTACTGTACATGTTCTTTTCAGCATCACCCCCGTTGAATGCTCCAGCAAGGCAGCGGCCGGATGTGATTTAGACTCTTTGATCGTGGTGGACATACCAGAAGTCCAGAGGATTGAAACTGCAGCGTTTAGCAATTGCAGCTCATTGGTCAAGGTCACGTTTCACGATTCTGTGAGAGAAATTGGGGATGGCTCCTTCAAAGGCTGCAGCTCTTTGGAGATTCTCTCCCTGCCTTCCCAGCTCACAGCCATCAGGAGAGAGGCCTTCCAAGGCTGCAGTTCTTTGCCGCATGTCACAATTCCCGATTGTGTCATCGTGATTTGGCCGCACGCATTTGATTGCTGTAGTTCCTTGTTAAGCGTGACACTTGGCCAAAGCGTGGAGCTCATTGAGCCTGGAGCTTTCAGTTCTTGTAGCTCATTGAAGCATCTGACGATCACCAATACCCTGTGCTACATCGGGAAGCGTGCCTTTGCTAATTGCACCTCTTTGCAAAGCGTGACCATGGGCGATTGGAAGCGAATGGAGTTTCCTGAGGGGCATGCGAGCCTCTATTCTTGTGAGGCTTGTCTGTAAAGTATGTGCTTTTTTGTTCATCATTCCGAATCATTCCCGCAAGTTGAGCAAGTTGAATGATGTTGAATGTAGCATGTTGGAGTGCCTATCGGCCTATTGACGCAATCCACTTAGGTACCCAACAGAGTGAGAATGATTGAGCAAGAAGCCTTCTTGGGGTGCAGCTCCTTGACGAGTGTGACAATTGGCACTTCCATGGCCATTATCCAGGCCGCAGCCTTTGCAGGTTGCAGTGCTTTGGCCAGAGCGACTTGGCTATGAAGTCGCAGACATAGTGGAGCAAGTTGGAGAACCGATGCCTCGAGAAGTTATTTACCTTGCGTTTTTGGCATCACCAACTCACCAAAAGTAGCCTCCGTCAAAAAGTAAAAACGTCAGATTGCGATGTAATTTACCAACACGGCCCCTCCTAAATTCACTTCGTTCGCAGCAACTGACTTAAGCCATGGCTTCGTTGCTTCGAAGTTCCGAAGAGCCGGGGCCACTTCCAGCTAGGTCACCTGGGTGGCCTGTGGGGGTGGGGCTGTGTTAGCCAACTGCTTTTCAGTGCATGTGCATGCACGGGGTGTCAGAAGCGGAACACTTCGTTTACAAAACGGTGCCGTTTGTAAACGGTGGCTTGCTCACTTCCACCCATGGCGGGGGATTTGCTTCTCAAGCGTGCGCTCGAAAGCTGGTTGAGCCTCATGTGATACGCTTTCCCTCCTAGTCTTTACTAGCTTTCGTTTCCCCCTTCTCAGGTTCTGAGATGTCCAGATCTTTTTCCGACTATTGGAGATACAGCCGCACATCCTTTGAAAGGAAGCCAATTGTGCCTGCTTGGTGGTTCTGAATTGATCGGCGGAATGAAAGGGAGGCACTTCAAACTCACGGACGGTCCCTCGCCAGTCTGTACGCGGAATGAACGCAATATATTCTTCTCGAATGCGGTCCAAGTGGGCTGACATCTGAAGACTTAGGGCCCGAGGAAATCTGAGAACGCCGGAATCAATCCCTCGTTTTCAGCGTGGTCACGATTTCCACATGTCCTTGCAATGTTTGCTGTTTCAGTGATGTTCCATGATGTTCTATTTGCATCACGCAACACCCAGGTGAAACTCCTATGCGCAGTGACTCGGGTCGAGGATGGGGCTTTTGATGGATGTCCACAGATTGAGCGTGGCTTGACGGTGGAAGAGGCTAAGCGGATCGGGATTCCAGGGCTGCGGAGGTGAGACACAGCTTGGAGCCGAGGTGTGATCGGTCCCATCTCAACGTGAAGACGGACAGAGTTTTTGAAGACAGTTGGCCTGTGGGCCCGGAGTTGGAGGAGCTTGCCGAGATGTGGGTACAGTATGGTACAGTACCTTTAATCATTCTTCCATGCGGCGATGCGGACCATTCTTCTCATCAACTGCGCTGGTTCCTCCATAGGCAATGGACCATGACAGCTGCTTGACAACACCTGCGATGCATCGGCTTCAATGACAATCAGGCTATTTCTTTGTTTCTGGTAACCGGGTTGCGACTGTTTGAGCAGCTGAAAAGGATGTGTTTGTGTGAGGGCACTTGCGAATGCTGAACCCCATGTCCATTCTTTTGAAGTTGGATGCCCCTTTTGTGTTACCGTACTCCTCATTTGGCTTTAGCAACAGAGCAACTGTGGTTGAGGGAAAGTTTTGTTCATGCAAGAGATGTTGTGGCTCTGAAAATGATTCACCGAAACATGATTCACATCATGGAAAAGGTTGATCAGTCTGAAACCACATTTGTGTGGCTCGTCTCGCCTCAGACCACCAGCTTGAGGCTTAGAGAAGAGTCTCGAGAAGGGAAAGAGCTAAAGCTTCTCGGCTGGAGACTGGAGCATGGCCCAGCTTGTCGGCTTCACAAGGATCATGTGATGACCAACAAGAGAGGAACTGACAGGAAAAGCCTAGACCTAGATCGTTCAGAGAAAGTAAATCGATTTTAACAATATTGTTTGCTTTTTCACTCTACGTCTATGGGTTTACAAAGCTCCTATGCCATTGAATCGGTTCAGCCGTTGTTGATACATTTGCGGTGTCCTTCGTGTGTCGTTTTCGTTCTGCGCCTATTGAAACTGCACCGGATTCTTGCACAACCAGGTTTCAGATGAAGGGCTTGTTGCTCGTGGTGGCGCGCTTCTCAGCACCACAGAGAGATCAGTCGAGAAATCGCTTCAAGTGGCAGTACGACCAGGTCTAGGTTTGCAAAGAGACCGCTTGGGGTAAACTCTTTTGGTGTTGCTGCTTGTCATGATGGCTAGTTCACCCAAGTAGAACCAGATGGTCTTTAGGTCGTAAAAAAAATCTATGAGACTTGAGATTGGTTGTCCGGATCAGTCAATGAAAGCAGAGTGGAAGACAAGCTTCTACCATAAAACGAGGCACTTATAGGAAACTTCACTGGCAGTCACTAGCGGCACTAGTCCAGGGTCAGGGAAAGCCGAAACAGCAGAGGCTGTACAGCCACGTGCAAGGCATCAGTCGTTTGCAGTGCTACGGGCTCCATTTTAGCAGAGCGTGTCTTCAAGGAAAGGCGCGCTCCACTGGTCCAGTGTCTTCAGAAAGTGGTGAACTGCATGGATCGCCAGTGCATCAATGGTAGTTACAGCAAAGAAGAAGCGTGGTATACGTGTCGTGGGCCAAAGCTTCCCAATTTGCAACCGAAAGCACATCCCAGGAGAGTCAAGTAGGGTCTAACAGGTGGGTTGTGAACTGGTTTTTTGCCTTGTTCTCTTGATTGCTGTCATGAATCAAAGTATGTCTACCGATGAACCTTCATTCGAACCAAGTGCGCATGCACTTACAATCACACCACTTGCCTGCCTGACTCTATAGGAGCAAATATATCATTGCATGCTTTCAGTGCCTCTCCTTGTCTCTGGACAATGCAACGTTGTCGGCGGACATCGTAGGTCTTTTGGAGATGCCAAGCAAGACCGGTCCGGAAACTGAGGAAACGCGATGTTGACACCATGAATTCTCAGTGCATTGGGTTTAAAGCGGCTCCTCCTTCAAGACACTTTTGGCCAGCCCCTTCCCATCTTGTTGGTGAAGAGAGAAGACAGTCTTGCAATGAATGATGGCTCCCTACAAGGATGCCTTCAAAGCACACCAGACAAAGGGAGGTTTTCTATACATGCTTTCTTGCTCCAAGATGTGTAGGTACCGAAGAAGAACGTTAGAGACCTGAGATCTTTGGATTTCGTGAGTGAAACGTAAAAAACACGGTCACCGTGACGCCCTTGAGCCTGGCGGCCCTGCCAGCCCGGTCGCCAAATGCAGGTTCTACATCATGAAGTTTCACTTGGACCTCACAGCCTTGTTCACCGCTGTGCGTTACCGAGACTGGTTGCTGGATGTGTTTGAGGTGCAAGATCGCTTTTGCTGCGCAATGCAAGCATCCAGTGCAGACATGTGCAGCCATGAAGACTTCTAAGAAAGGGGCTTTGCAGGCTTCAGCTAAACTTTGGTGAGCTCCGTTGTTCAACATCTCCACCGTGCCGCTGAATCTGAGAAACTGCATGCACCAAGGCACTTTTGTGGTCCCTGCCATTGAACCGATTGGTGGAAAGCCTCAGAGCCGATCCTCAAAGTTATCAAACCTACGCCATGGGGACCTTGTGCCGGTTGAATCCATAGTGTTCGCCACAGGTTGACAGGTTGTGTTTTTGAAACAAATGTTATTTGTTATCGGTTCAAGATCACAAGTAGGACGTGCTTCAAGGTAGCACGCAGCAGCATCTTCGGAACGTTACACCGCTACAGACACAAGAACGATCGGGAGTCAAAAAACCGGATCCTAAGCTGGGTGATGTAGTCTTTTTGTCCTTGCTCCTAGTAGCGATGCCCTTTGCTCCTAGTAGCTTCTTGTTCCTAGTAGTAAGGCCAGGAGCCCCTAGTAGCGTCCTTGCTCCTAGTAGCGTCCTTTGCTCCTAGTGTCCACAAACTCCAGTCCACTCAGTCTTCTCATTTTCGAGGTGGTGGTTAGAGACTTCATGCTTAGATGGGAAAGAAGCGAGGAGAGACCGGGCTTCCGATCAAGACAGAACTGAGAAGCGGTCAAGCTGCAAAGGCTAAAGGAGAAAAGCTGTTTTCACTGAACACTTGACGACGACATCTAGCTAAACACCACTTGCAGGTTCACTGTGTTTGTACCACCTGATTCGATGACGGAAAAGCCAAGAAGGGGCATCGGCCGGGCTATGGGCCTTTGGTATTCTTCTTGTTGCGACTTGACTCATTTTGCTCGCGCTGCGCAGGATTGGTTTGGCAACTGGGGAACGTCGCAGTGCCTTGGCGAATGGTTGCACCAAGCGGTACCGAAATCACATCAAATCTCAGGACTTGGAACGATAATTGTGATCTTGGGATAGACATTCAATTGCCTAGGTGTGCCAGTGTTTTTTTCCAAATGACACTGCAGGATGTGGGCGATAAACATTGATCCCAAGCGAGGAGAATGATTCCACATGTGAAAGTCACAGACATGGTCATACTCTGAATCCTCAGATGATCTCAGATATGTGCGGTATTGTGCGGTGGTCAATAAGGGCCATTGACTTAGTAGGTGAACACCATGGAATCACTGGACTTTACCATGCAGCATATGCCATGGTGAGCTTCGTCACAGCCTGGCTTGGCACTGCTCGCGGGACTGGAAGGACTGCGGTGGCCAGTCTCGCGTCACAATGGGCTGCGCTGGGTGGTGGTCGCCGAAGTGCAGTGATCTCGACGGCAGACCTGGATGCAGCCAGACATGCCTTTGGCCGCCGGAATCAAATCTACCTCTTCCAACTGCTGGCCACCATCTTCGAAGAGATACCGACCAAGAGTGCAGCTAGGAGTGCTCTCCGTGAGGGGCGAGTTCGTCTTAATGGCTCGGTAGTGACATCTAGCACCACATGGGCGGCTGAGCCAGGCGACTCCCTCTCCCTGGATCAACGCACCAGCAAGCTCGAGATGTCCGATGACCTGGAAAAGCGCTTGCGAAGCTGGAACGAACGCAAGAAGCGAGAGGAGGCTCAGATTCGTTTGCTCCACTCTGATGACGAGAGGGGTTGGGCAGTGGTGAACAAACCCGCTGGCCTGGATTCTGCACCATGGGCAGAGTCGCACAGCAACAAGCGCTTTACCTTTCAAAGTTATTTGCCCACCGTTGTTCCTCCGCCGCGCACCGGGTGCACCCCATGTCCTGGCCCTCGAGTGTGTCACCGCCTGGACTTCCGTGTGGCCGGGCCTTTGGTAGTGGCCACCTCCGTGGAGGCCATGCGAAAACTGAAGGAGTTCTTCGCCAGACGAAAAGTCGAAAAGGAATATCGTGCCATTGTTTGTGGCACCCTGGCAGACGAAGAGACTGAGTTCACCATCCAGGAGCCCTTGGATGGGAAAGCCTGCCGCACGGATGTGAAGGTCCTGAAGGTCGTCCGTTGTCCCCACTTCGGTCGCCTCAGCATGCTGGCCCTGTGGCCCAGGACCGGCCGGTACCGACAGCTCCGACGCCACTTGGCGGAGGTTCTCGGAAGGCCGATCGTCAATGAGGATGAAGGTTTGCTGCGCGCAGCCTTGAAGCACTGGCAGGGGCCACCTTTGCAAGTGTCTCGTGGCCGCGGCAACCTATTCCTTCAAGCTATTCAAGTCACAGTGCCCCCCTTGGACAATTCGATGGATCGTGTCACTGTGCGTGTGGCCCCTTCAGATCGCTTTGAGGAACTGCTAAGCCAGTCACAAGATGCTTGGAGCCGTGGATGGAAGACGGATGAGACCACCGGCCGCTCCATCCGCCTTGGATAACTTTCCCGGCGGCAGCTGAACATTGGCTACAAGGCTGAATCCATCCTGGAAGACCAGCCAAAACAAGATGAGGACACGAACTACGTTTCAATGGTCGATGCGAATGGAGTCTGACCTCTGAGTGGAGATTGAGTGTGCTTGTTGTTCGGGAATCGAAGCATGTCGCTTGATGGACACAGTGGACCAGGAATATTGCCACAGAGTCATGGATGCGAAGACAACGAAGGGAAGAACACTAAATGCATTTGGTCGCGTGCTTCTCCATGCTCATAGCCAAGTGATGCTAAGTGAAGTCCAACATAATCCAACCAGCATATAAAAATTGAACGATGATATAACGGATATAAGCCGTATATATATATAATATATATATAATATATACTGTAATTCCTCATCATCACATCTCACGACTCTCCATGAAGTTTGCACTGGGATGACTCATTGTCACATTGTCCACCTCTAGGTGCCTCATGGTCTTGGTGATGGTAGCTCACGGCTGGGCTGCAGGCGGATTTCAGAGACCGACTCGCATGCCCATGCTTCGCTGCCTGACAGTGGCCTTTTTGACAGAGCCTTTCAAGGTCAGTGACGAACACCCCACGGCCAGGGGTCCGAGGGTTCGTGCGAGGGTCGGTTCGGCGGTTCAGTTGATTCCTTGCATGTTACTACAGTAGGTAAGCTGAGGGAAAGAGGTGTGCTTCTCGAGGATTCACATTCAGCACTCAAAGCCTCCCAAATCATCCCAAATCCACTGCAATGGAACAAGCCAACTCGTTTCAGACTCACGCCTGCACAGCGAAAAACCCTCTCTGCCTGGCACCGAAACGTTTGACATTGTTTGACCACATAGATCGATGGGGCGGAATTGGTGAAACTTGTGAAGAGCGTTGCTACACGATGTAATTGCACATGTAGCCAGCAACTGCGTTATGCAGCACATCAACAAGCGAGTTTGAAGCAACGTGATTCCGTGACATTCCAGCCACTGCGGCTGGCAAAGTAGTGCTGCAGAATTGAACCTTGAAGGATGTTGGCAAGCAATCATCAATAGTTCAGAAGTTCGCGGCTTGACCAAGCTATTTTCAGACATGGTCACGTTACGGTTGAAAACACCACGCGTGCAAGCCTCAAGTCAACGTTTGAAGCAAAGCAAACAGATAAGAACTAGCGGTCACGCGATGCAACAGCCAGACTGCAGACCAAAGACATGTGGACCACAGCACAGAGGCTTCGAGGGCAAGTTACAAATCCTTGTTTGGATATGTTTGGATAACCAAAAGGATTGCAGGGCCCGGGTGCTGCTGCTGGAGGTGCAGACAACATTTCTGACTAGGAAACGGTGAAGCTGTGTAAGGCGTAAGGAAACAAGGCCATCAAAGACAGAAGCACTGAAACCAACTGACGTGAGGCAATTTTAAGTTGCAGGCCAACACTCTACCACACACCTGCTCTGCTTTCCGGACAGTTTGACGGATAGGTGTCTTTTGCCATGTAATTGATCGGTTTGTATTTGATTTATCTTGGTTGACATGCAAAAGATCCTATTTTCGCCACATGGCCGACCACCAAATCATTGCCTACCTCCACGTTCTCACACGATGACGTTGACGCCTTTGGTTCACCTTCGCCAGGTCTCATCACTCGAGAATTTTCCACCGTGATTCGCTCCATCGTGCAGACACTGGTGACGCGGCGCAATGACTGTTGGTGCAACACAGTGAAGCCTGATAAGAACATTAAGAAATATTAAGAACATTTAAGAACCCATAAGAACTATGATATAAGAACCCAATCATTGTCTGAATCCCTGTTTGCTGTGAGATGCTTTGTCTTTCTGGCCAGAAGGCAACGAAATAATGCGGCTTCAGACTCCTGAGTCTTTTAGCTTGACCACTGAGACAAAAGAAGGACCATGTGACACAGTCTTCCATGATAATTCGTTTTGTCTCAGTGGTCAAGCTAAAAAGATCTTTCAGAAAGGATCTCTTCGCTTTTCCTGGACACGTCGCTGACACGTCGCTGTCGATCTCTTCGTGGCGTAGCTTTTCCTGGTGCACCTGAGGCTTTGCTCAGCTCCTGGTTGATAGGTTCGGGATGTTCGGAGCTTTGGTGGGATGTCGGCACACTGATGGGCAGGATCTGGGTGGAGATTCTACGCCAGGGCCAGGGTCCAGCTCTGGGGTCCGTGGTTTTCTACAGGTGTGTGTGTGTGTGTGTCCTATTTTCATCCTCCCCATGGTGACGGGCTTTTGTGGTAGCCTTTTTCCAAGGAGCGACCCATAAAAAGCTCATCCTGGCTTCGTTCTTTGGCGCAGCGTGACAGGTGACCCTTTGCAAGACAATCGGCTCAATTTCTTGCAGCGCTGCGTCAGGATCTTAGACAGCAGACATATTACATACATATATATATGCGAATGGAAGTGCAGCGACATGTACAGTGCAACATGTACATATATATATGTACCATATGTACTTTGGCTCAAGGATCAAGCGACTAGAAAAGGTGCGGTTTCCGTTCCGACGCTACGCCGCTTATGGACCGTCAGTGATAGCTTCAAACTACGCTGATTAAGATCCACTCGCAGGTTATCAGCCGTACGCGCTCTTTATAGCCGTACGAGCTACACGAGACCGAGAACAAGACTAGTCATTACAGGAACCTGCAATGTCAAGCTCAGGAGGAAATGGAAGCGAACCCTATTCATTCGCTGCTCCTGGTGGTCCCAACACCATTTCGTCACCAGACTCTACAATGGGTACTGATTCATCAGCAGATGCTGACGTTATCACTATGCCTACTGGATCACAAATATCGGAAAGATCCGTGCCACCGGCTCGGAATCTGACCGACCTTGCACCCGTAGGACCAAGAAGATCAATGAGAGCTACAACAAGATCTACATCGCCTATAACGTCTACCGCGAGATCCCCAAGAAGGAGTATAGAGAAGAGACGTGACGATGATAGAGGAACAAAAGAGCAAAGAAGAGAGATTCAGCTGGGTGAAGAATTGAGATCGGCGAGAAACGCATACAACTTTCTTCACCAAGAATATGAATGCATCCAAGCCGGATACTCACGACTACACCACGAGGCTGAAGTGGAGTTCAGGCAAATGTCTGACTACAACAGGAAGATGCAGGAACATCTACAGGAGATGACACAGGAGGATGAAGGAGCGACAATAAGAATTGAAGAGCTCGAACACAAGCTACGCTTGGCGGAATCAACAGCTGAACATATCTACATGAGATATCAAGAGCTTGCACAAGAAACTCATCAAGAACATTCAGAGCTTGAATCTGTGAAAGCAACGAAGGACAGAATGTCCCAAGAGCTTCAAGCAGCAATTGGACACATCCAAGACCAGAATGAATCTTCATTGGTGATCAATAGAAGATCAAAAGCCATTCAGGATGAGAACACAGCCTTCGTTGGGATAGCTGACCAGATACAAGCTAGAATGATTGCGCTACAGGATGAGAATGTCAACATGCATGAGGTGATCCAACACCAGAGAGAAGAACAATGGAACAGTGAGGTCAGGGAGAAACGTCTTCAACACAGCGTTCACTCATCTCAGGATCAGAGCAATCAGGAAGCTATGGTTATTGATCATCTACGAGGTCAACTAGCTATGGCACGTGGAGCTGAACTCAACGCGAAAGCGGAGATGGGAGAGATGGAAGTGGGCATGAGGATGGAGATGTTTATATGCCAGACTGAAGTCTCTGCTAAAGAAATGGCAGATGCGAGGGCGAGCCACCACGAATACGAAGCAAACGTCGCAAAAGAGGTCATCGCAAAAGGAGAAATATTCAACAACGAAGTCCTAGAAGGTTCCATCCGTGAACGACAACAATTGAAAGACGTCAACCTCGCTCTATCCGAAGCCAACGCACAGCTGAAAAGAGAGAATATAATGAGAGCTCCTATGTTCGGCGATGATGGTGCAGAAATTCAACAGAAGATTAGAGAACTGGAAGATGCACTATTGGAAAGCCAGAAGGAGACAAAGAATGTCATTATGGAAAATGCGAAATTAAAAGCAGAAGCACGAATGGCACCCATAGTCTCTCGGTACAGCAAGCGTCCTAGTTCCAGAGACCGCGGGTTACCAACCCACGCGTCCGAGGAAGATGAGGTTCGGAACGCAAAAGAGGAGGCGAAATACTATAAGGACGGGTACAATGAAATGACAGAGAGCCGAGATGAGATGTATGAATGGTATGCCGAAACCCACAATGAGTACGCCGAGGAAAGGGAGAAATCAATTGAGTTGTCCGAGGCGAACAAATCATTGAGGGATAAGATTTCAGAAACAGAGGCATCCTCTTCATCTCATCTTGCACCGGCAACCTCTACTGTCATGAAGGTATCGAGGAAGGAAGAATCAAAGATAAACGTTCCGTCATGGCCCAGGATCAATGATATTGGATTATGGAAGGCAAATCTCATTCAATCAATCATCATTGCGGCCAATGATTCAGATCAAGAGCCCTGGATCGACTGGATCAAAGAAGCCATGGACGATCCTGATCCGGACAAGTTTGTCGACTCAGGAGACCAAAGATTCCATTCAATCGATGCTAAACTCGGCCTAGCTCTTACCAAGGTCGTCATGGATGCGAAAGATGATGGTTCAGGTGTAGCTATGAAGTTGAGGACGAGGATCAATGCAAAAGGGAGAACATCAAGCCTTATAAAGGGAAGAGAGGTCCTAGCCCTGATCCTTATGAACTTCAAGGCAACATCAAATGTGGAAGTCTTATATACTTCAATGCACCTCTACCAACTAGAATATCAAGGAGACAAGAACTTATCGTTGTTCTTCCACACTTGGGATGAGATTCTGGCAGGAATGAAACCCGTTGACGTCCCGAGCGACGAAACTCTTCGGGATCTCCTATGGAGAAAGATCAGGAACTCAAACCTCATGGCATACGACATCAGCGCCTACAACAGCATGAACGACGATGATGCCAAGAAGACATACAAACATCTACGTGATATGATCAGAAGGCACATCGAACGGCAAACTGAAGACAGAATGATCCTGGAAAAGGAGAAAGCAGTGAAGAATGTGGCCAATATCTTTCAGAATCTCAAACCAGGCGGACCTGCTCCAAAACTGAAAGCTGCACCAGCTGATCCGAAGAAGAAACCAAAAGGGCAACAAGAACAGGTTGTCCCAGAAGACGCTGCTGCAGTGAAGCCGAAACCCAATCCCAAGAAGCATCCTGAAGACAAGAACAAAAAGGGAAAGGGGAAAGGTAAAGGTGATGGAAAGGATCGCAGCCGAAGTCCGAGTACAGACAAAAAGAAGATACCGTGCAAATTCTTCGTGAAAGGTAACTGCACTATGGGGAAAGATTGCCCATTCAGTCACAAGAAACCCAGATCACCATCCAGAGGACCTTCTGTCGGAAAGAATGACAAGCCAGTATGTTGGATGTGGATTCGCGGAACTTGTGATAAAGGGAAGGATTGCAAGTTCTACCATGACCCAAAAGCCTCTCCTAAGAAAGGGATATCTGCACCAGCTGACTCAGGAGACGATAGGCCAAAGCCCAAGGCAAAACCCAAACCGAAACCTAAGGCGAAACCTGGAGCCCCAGCCATTGGCGGTGAACTCTTCATGGACGAATCCGAAGATGAAGGGGTCGCTGCATCCGCCAAGGCGAGAGAAGGAGGTGCAAAGGTATCCTTTGATGAAGAGACTTGTGAGATCATGTTGAACGAAGCGATCTACTCAGTCAGGGACAAATGGAAGGTAGTAGAAAAGAAACCTCTACGTCCGGACATCAAACGATATGATGAGAAAGAGCTCACCTGCTACACGAGGAAAGAACAAATCAGATTTGAAGAAAAGGTCGCAGAGGCAAGGGGCATATTGATGGTCCCCTACACTGAGATCAAGAGGGTCCGAATACCAGTTGGACCAAAGGGTGACCTATCGGTCACTATGTCTTTTGATGAATATGACGGCCTAGTTTTCCATCATAAAGTCATTCCTCATGTATGCGAGGGAAAGAATGATCATGCAGACACAAAGACGTTGTCTATTCCAGCCAAAGGATCAAGAACGAAGTTCATCATGGACACAGGATGTGGGTATGATCTGATATCGAAAGGCAGAGCCAAGAAACTAGGTCTGGAAGTGAGAGAAAGCGACCAATCAATGTCATTCTATACCGCAAATGGAGTGACATCCACAAAAGGGGTCGCCGACATTCATTTCGACGAATTTGACTCTACCTACTCCCCATTCGTCCTAGATGAGTCTCCTTCAGTACTGTCTGTTGGAAAGAAATGCATGGAGGAAGGATACACATTCATATGGCCAGCCTGCGGCAACCCGTACATGATTTCCCCGAACTACAAGAAAATCATGTTAGAAGTAGAGGGAAACATCCCATATATTGTCAAGGGCAGTGACTTCTGTACTCCCACCGACGATACAAGGGCGGAGATGATCGCAAGGTTCACCCTAGGAGAAGATGAAGCCGATTACCAATCGACTTTCATCAACTGTGATGTGGATCCTCAAGGAATCATGTGTGATAATGACGACCTTCCTGTGATTGAACCTCCAAAAGTCAAAAGACGAAAGAGGAATAAGAAGTTCAAGGCATCTCCTGGAGAAGAAGATGAGGTAGGATCGGATGTCGCCGGAGACAGTGAACCAGAAGCTGACGATGATGATGCAGATGACATCGAGGTGGATGTTATTGACGGTGCAAGTAGAATGGTGAGAAGAGGAACTCTGAAAGCAGATGCCAGGAAAATCGAGCATCTACTCACACATCGTTACAAGAACCCCTACTGTGAGTCATGCATCAGAGCAAAGATGAAACACTTCAAGACGCATCGGGGAGCGTTCAAGAGAAAGCTCAAAGCTTTTGGAGACCTGGTTACCTTTGATTTTGTCGATACAAGGAACATCCTTGATCAAGGGATCAGTACTGATCGAGAGATCTTCGTCATTCGTGACAGGTACACAGGCGTCATATGGGCCTATCCGTCGAAAGAGAAGTTTACCAAGGACGTGATCAATGCAATAAACCACTTCAAGGGATTGAAGAAGATCAAGATTGCTTATGCCGACAAAGCCCCAGAGTTTGAGACGGCTATGAAACAGCTGAAGATCCCATTCGATCACTCTCTACCGAATCATCCTCAAAACAATTCTCTGGCGGAGAGGAACAATCAGTTCATTATGATGACAACCGCAACTTGTCTCTTGGAAGCAGGGTTACCACCATGTTTCTGGAGCTATGCAGTAGAATGCGTCAGCCATCTTTTGAACATTGAGGAAGGAGAGGATGGAGTGAGCCCTTGGTACAAGCTACATGGGAAAGAGTTCC